ATACATGCAGTTATATAATTTGGAGCACTTTCTTTTCCTCTCTTTTGTACCATGACTATTACACATTTTGGGTTTCATTGCTCCCACGGTTCTTATTACTTTTTTGGAAGAGAGTAAAACCAAATGTGACATAATAGAACAGAATCGGTCAAGTCAAGAGGGTGGACATAATAGATAATGTAAAAACATAATACAAGGTGATCAACAATGGTTACCATAATGCCTCCCGCTATCTCTAATAGAATTGCCTATATCGTTAGTTATAATACAATTGAACAAAACAGTAAAGAATAAAACCGACAAAACCAAAACATTGGAGACATTGTAGGTCTTCAAAAGTAGATAAAAGTCAACAAGAATGGGCATCATAATGAATCTCATTATCTTCACAGCTGATGCCTAAACTTTCGAACCTGATACTATCCAGCAAAACAGAATAGGGGAACATCAGTTAAAAACCAGATGGTGAGAGTAATACAGGGCTTTAAATCAAGGTAATGAAAAGTCAAAGTGGGTTACTATAATATATCCTGCTATTTTTTTCCTTTAATTAAAAGGATAAAGATAAAAAAGTAAATAATGGAGTGGAGATTGAGATAAAAGAGGGCATAACAACGAAACAGCGCAGATCAAAACATAACCATTTAAGCAGAATAGTGTTTCACCACCAGATAATCCTAACCTAAAAGTAGTTACCATATTGTCTCTTTCTTTGAAATCCTTGAGTTTGTTCGTATACTGTAGCATTAAGTATATCAAAACAATGTAAAACCATTTAAGAGAATGACAGCATTACAGAATATTTAGAATCGACTAACAGAAAATGAACAATGGTTTCTGTATAATCTCCTTGTCTTTAAAAGGTTTTCGCTTATACTATCATATATAATAAAATCCAATAAGATACAGCCTATTTAGACCATTGGAGACAGAAGGACAAAAGCTAGATGAGACTTCAAAACAAGATGATACTAAATCAGTATTACCTATTAAGATGTCATTTTCTCCAAAATAGCTTTTCCTATCATCCAATCTTCTCTGCCTCATTTCTGTTGAGCTCTTTTTCTGTCAGTAGCTGTCAGTTTGTCTTCTTCATTTTGTTCTCTGCTCCATTTGTTGTGGCCTCTCTGCCATTATTTCTGGATTCTTTGTATTTTTCTTTTTTTAGAATATCCTGCAATACTCTCTGTAGAGTTGAATTGGTGGTTGCAAATTCCCCCAGTTCCTCTTTATCCTGGAAGCACCTTGTTTTTCCATCAATTTCCAGGGACAGTTGTGCAGGATATCTCAATCTTGGCTGGAGATTATTATCTTTCAAAGCTTGAATTATTTCCCCCCACGCTCTTCGTGATTTGATGGTTTGTGCAGAGAAATCTGCTGTAATTCTGATGGGTGTTCCCTTGTAAGTGGTCTGTTTCTTGTCTCTGACAGCTTTTAATATTCTGTCCTTGTATTGAATTTCTGGAATTTTTATTATTATATGCCTGGGTGTTGCTCTGTTTGGGTTGTAGGTAGCTGGGGTCCTGTATGCCTCATACATCTGAGTATCTTTACCTTTTGCTAAATTAGGAAAATTCTCCTGGATTATTTCTGTGAGTAGCTTTTGTAGTTCACTTGTTTGTGTCCCTACTTCTTCTTTTATGTTCTTAATCCTTAAGTTATGGATCCTCTTATCATCTTCTTGTCTTTGTATTATTGCTGTTTGTTTCTTTGTTATTTTTAAGAAGTTTTTCATTTCATTCTCCCATATTACAAGTCTGCCCTCCAGTTCAGATAGTCTGTCCTTAGTTTCTTTCAAGCTGTTATGCCAGTCTTCGATAGACTTTTTAGTATCTTGGTAGTCCCTTTGAACCTGCTTCATATATTCTATGCTTTCTCTGTTTTCTCCATCAAACAATTCTCCCCTTTTTTTCTGTTCTTCCATTCCACCACCTGTTTTTTCTTGGGTGGTACTTAGCATTTCTCTAACTATTCTGCATACTTCTAGCTTCAGGTCGTTGATAACTTCATTCCTGAATTGGTCTATGAGGCTCTCTATATGGTGCCTTATGTGTATTGGTGTGGTGTCTGCTATTGCCTGTTTCTCAGAATTGGGGGCCGAGGAGCCTTTCTTGTTGCTGCCTCTTCCCATGCTGCCTCTTCTTCTCTGTTCCTTATATATGCAAGCTTATATAAGAGGCCCAGCTTCTCTCCCAGTCAGCCACAGCCTGATCAAATTGCGCCAGTTAGGTGTTCCCGCTCACCGCTGCGCACCAGGGAGTTACGGACCAGGCAGCCTACGCGTCTCCCCTCCCGGCCACCGTCAGGCTCTGGGATCTGGTTTGGGACAGCCTACCAGGTCGGCCAGCAGCGTCACGCAGGCCAGGCACTTTTCACCAATCCCGCCCGAGAGGGGGATGTGTGGCTGGAGTCGCCACCGCGCCCTGCTCCCGCAGGACTGCTCGGGTCCAGAAAGTCCTCTGCTGGAGTCAAACTGTGGTAGAGTGTCAGTTTCTCTCACTCACCTCACCACAAGTCAGTGCACGCCTCCCTGCCGTTTGCAGATTGCCGTTCTCAGAGCTTCTGCGGGTCTCTCTCCTTGCCGAGCCACTGTAGAGGCAGCCAGCCGCCGCGCGGCGGGAAACCCAAATCGCGGCTTACAATGGCGCGGGGTCCAGCTCCACACCGAGGCTTTTCTGTTCCTGTTTTAGCACCAGGACTGCATTCCAAGTTGGTTTCTCTCAGCCCAGTTCGTTCCTGAGTCAGCAGAGCATATCTCCACCTGCTTATGTCTCCTTAGTCCGCACCATTCCTGGCTTCTGAGCCGAGTCTTTCAGAGAGCCTCCGGTAGTTGCTGTTATCTGTCCGCCATGTTCTCCCGGAAGTCAAATGATCACTTTCTTGAACTGTGGTGAAGTTTTTACATAAAGATATTGAAGTGGAAGTCTACCTTATTATTTTGTAAAATGTCTTCTGTATGGCGATAAACTGAAAATGTGGGTCACCTCTAAACAAGAAAAATAAATGTTCACTTCAATGTGTATCTCTGCTGTCACAGGCAGACAGAGTCCAGATCTGTGTTGATTAATTCCAGAAACCTAGCAGATGCTTTACAGTGAGGAAGTGGATAATCCCAGTGACCCGGCACCTTTGTTTCCACTGAAGTTCAGGCTCATTTCTGGTTGTGAGGTCGGAACCAGACCCACTGGGCCTGCAGCAGTCTGTGTGCCTCTTGTGGTACTGAAATTGGCTGGGAGCCACTAGATGGAGCTGGCTGTTGCTCTGAGTTCCACGATGTCTCTTCTCCAAGATGGCACCCCGCCACATACCTTCTGCTGCGGGACACCTGATCCTGGGTGACTCACCAGCCACGGCAATGTATTGTAGCTGCTGCTCTGTTCCACCTGTGCTTTTTTCTGTGAGGCCTCAGGGGTGGCCAGTAGTCACAGCATAGCTGCAGGTTTGAGTCACCCCTCCCACATGAAGTTTCTGGGCTCAGAGCAGTGCCACCTGCCACCTTCAACTTTGTTGACGTTTCTCTCTCTTTGCTTTCCCCATAGGCTTTAGTTCTTGATTTGGGCCCTCCCTTCTCTTCTCTTCCTCATGTTGCTATATTCCAAGGTGTGGACAGCAAATCACAATCAGGCTCTTTCTCTGCTGCTCACCACTCATTCCTCCATCTTGCTGGAAACGATTTTGTACTGGACATTATAGGCTGGATTTTGTCTCCTACCATTTGTATGTGGAAGTTCTAATTTGTAGCACCTCAGAATGAAAGCTAATTTGGAAATAAGCTTATTGCCAAATAATTACTTTAAGACAAGGTAATTCTGCACAAAGGCAGGATCTTAATTCAATACATCTGGGTGTCCTTGTCTGAGGAGTAGTTTGGGTAGAGACACACAAGGTGGGTTAGGAGATCTTGCTCTGCGGCTGGTGAGAACACTGCTCCTGCCTCTGTGAGCTCTGGGGATGTTCTACTGATTCCCTGTTATCCTTTCTCTGCTCTCAGTGGCTTCCTCACATGCACATGCTCTCAGCCACATTCAGGACCTCTCCACAGATCACTGGAGCTCTCGCTCTGCAGCGGCTGCTTCTTGATACTTTGCCATCACTGTGCCCTGCGGAGACTGAACTTTGCTTTCTTAGCCAGGGAGACCACTGACTCTGTTCTGGTTTCTCCTTTTGCATTTATCCTGGGAACATCTCCAGGCAATGAGATGGGGGCACCTGCCGTGCCCGATGTCACTGTGTTCTTTCTCTCAGGAATCACCGTCCTCACTGCCTGTTGTCAGGAATGCCAGGAAGCTTTTGCTTCCTGGATCTTGTTCAGTTTTTAATGATGCAAGAAGGGAGAATGAATCCAGTCTCTGTTCCTTCGTGGTTGAAAACAAAATTTTGTTTTGATAAGCGGTTTTTGTTTTGTGTAAATAGTTTTTTTCTATTATTAATTAGGTAATGTTTTTGCATTAGAATAATGCTAAAATATGTGGTTTCTTCTGAATTTGTAGACAGTGATTTATGTAGATCACATTCTTATTGTAGGATAACTTTTGCATTTTTGGAAGGAAACCCTCTTTTGTATACTGTTGTTCTATAGTATTCAAAATATTAACAAATGAGTCAGTGATATCATAAGGAATTTGGCACAAAGACTTACTTACAAGGACCTCAGACAACAAAATGACTTACTTTCCTTGAATACAATTATTAAGAAATTCTGGTGGACTCTCTGAAAATTTATATAATTTTTATATTTGGGAACATTTTTAATTCTTCACATATTAGACTGAAGTTGGCTCCCAGTGCATGAATGTAGTATTTTTCCTCTGTATTTCAGTTTCGGTGGCGTGCGTAGCTGTATCTGTAAGTCCATTAGTCTTTTCTTTGTCAATGTCTAACCTACTATTATTAATCCCATTTGGTCTACTTTCATGTCAGACATTGTAGTTTTAATCTCTTTTTATTTAGCTATTTGTTTACTTATTCATTTGTGTAAATGAGTTTGTTCTGTTTCCCAGGCTGGCTCAAACTTACAATTCTCCTGTCTCACTGTCCGAAGTAGCTGGGATTACAGGTATGTGCTACACTGCCTGGTTCAATTTGAGTATTTTTAATGCTTTTCTTCTTTTATTATATTTTTAAAAATTTCCCATATTTGTATCAACACACAGTCTCTTCTCTGACTTCTTAGACATATAGGAGACAATGATAATAGTGATTTTAATGCTTTTTCACTTATTTTATACTCTGTGTCAAAATTCCTGGTTGTTTTTCATGTTTATTGTTTTCTTTTTTTAATGCATCATTTTTTCCTGCATTTGAGATTGCCTTGACAGTCGTGACCTGATGGGGGAGGTACAGTGAATGTTACCATGTTGGGTGCTCACCTAGGTAGGAAGCTCCCTCTGGTGGTTGCAGGAAAGAAAGAATGAAACCTGGGCCAGTTCTCGAGCGGCAACCTGGGAGCCCCACTCCGGACTGGGCTGGGCTGAGGGTAGTGGCTCAGTTGGGAGCAGTTGTGGTGGCTACAAGAGGAGATGCACGGGAAAGGGAGGATTCAGCCTAAAGCACAGGGGAGCTCCGTGGAGGCCGGCAGTGCGGTTTCATGTCAGAAAGAAAAGCAGTTTTAGCAAACAGAGGAAGCAGCCGTGAGGTGCACTTGTTATACAGCCACGTTTTGTAAAGGATAATAAATGTGATTCACACACGCACATGAGAAGGGCCAGCTGAAAAGCTGAATCTTGGAGTCGTTTGCAAAGAAGGTGGTTGGCAGGGTTTAGAGGTTATAGGGATCATCCGTGAGCCACCTGAAAACTGATAAGAATAGGCAACCTTAGGGGGAAACTGGGATTGCTCTTTTTTCTAGGGTAGGCTTCAACCAGACACTACCGTAGCATATATCTTAATATGCATGTTATAATTTATAGCTAAAGTAGCGCCTGGAAGTCTCAGGTATTTGAAGGTGGCGCTTGGAGGGTGAGTGCGTCCGGGGCGTGTTCTGCTGATTCATCCGTGGGTCAGTTTGCAGCTGACTGTGTTGTCGCAGGCAGCGCCTGGTTGCCGATGGGTCTGTCGCAGTGAAAGGCTTTCTCCACTACGCCCTCTGCTGGGCTGTGCCTGCCATGGTGCGCCCAGCCCTAAACCGAGTGTTCTGTGTACCGTGAAGGAAAATCAACTTCTCCCCCTTTAAATGGTGGCACTGGATTTTGTCCCAGCGTTGGGGAAGTGACTGACACAGTATAAGAAGGAATAACTAAGGCTTGAGAAACAGGATTTAGGAATGTACTGATGCTGTATAACTTACTACCGATTCTTAAAGTCTTTTGGACACACACATGGTCTTCTACTGACATTTTATTTATCTTTATCTGAGATTAAAGAAGTCTTACTGCATCACTCCTAAGTGTAGGTTGTAAGAATAATACCAGCTTTGATGTTTATCTATGTGTGGATGAACTATCCCAGGGATATTTTAATTTTTATTTTAGTGTTTAAGATGGGTTTTCTGGCTTCGTTTTACTGTCTGCCTCCTCCAGCGGCTCTTTGAGGGGTCCTGTTTTGAAGTTACCATGTGCTGAGTACATTACCAAGGGACCGACATTTACGTTTATCTCGATTATCTAGTACTTTGAGAAAGTACGAGCTTCATTCTTTTCTCTGTTCCCAGGTTAGGAAACTGAGGCACAGCAAGGTCAAATGATTTCCCAAAGCCATCTGGTCAGTGGACTTGAGTGCTAAGTCGGGCAGCACAATGCTCATCCATGGTCCAGTTACCCGAGAGGCTGAGGCTGCAAGATCACTGGAGCCTACGGATTCAAGAGCAGCCTGGAAAACTAGTGTGCCCCATCTCCTCCCCCTAAAGACTCAACTCTTCTGTGGGTAGGGCTGTAGTGAGCGTACAGGAAGGCGTCTCTTTGACATATGGCCTTCTTTTCCTGTGGATGCAAACCAGCAGCGGGATTGCTGGATCCTCTGGTGGTTTTATTTCTACATTTCTGAACACTGTTATGTTGTTTTCTACAATGATGGCATCAATTTATATTCCCAACAGTGGAGTGCAGGGCACCTCCTTTCTCCATCCTCACCCACACTGCTGCAATAGCCTTCTTAGCAGGATGAGATGATCATCACATTGTGCTGTTGAGTTACACCTCCAGGATGATTAGTGATGTTGAGTCTGGCTTTGAACTCACTGTGTAGCTCAGGCTAGCCTTGAACTCAGAGATCCTCCTGCCTGAGCCTCCTGAGTGCTGGGATTACAGGTATGTGCCACCATGCCCGGTAAGTCCTTTTAACTTGAAGGTCATAGACTGAACCTGCTCCCTTACTTTCATCCAAGTTTATTAATAAAACTCCCAAAGTAGATTGTTTTAGACCCCAGATACACATAACACACTCTCCCTACCTCCTTTGTCTCACTCTCCAGCCCCGGCTCTCACCGACAAAAAGGTCTGCATATACAAATAGAGAATAACTATATGATCTTTCTTTGTTTTAAAGAGGAAATAACAATAAAACAGTTTCAAAACAGGCTAGTAGGAGAGTAACAATAATTAACACATTGCATATTGTTACATTGATAATAGTTGCTCAGAGTATAAGATACAGGCATGAAATATTATCCAAACAATATTGGCACAAACTTTTCAATGAACAAACTGTATAACTATCTTAACTATCTTGTGTGTATACATATATTTTTTCCTTCTCCCTTCTTTCCTTTCTCTTTTCTCCCATCACAGTTAGCTATATGATCTCAAACAGTCTCCAAAGACAGTTGTCTCTGAAGACAGCCTGTTTGTCTGTGTGATTCTATTAATTCTGAGCTCTTTCCTATCAGGTATCATCACAGAAGTATCTTATCTCTCTGTCCCCCAACATGACAGTTGTCCCAGTGAGTTCCCTTCTTCTGATGTGGGTTTGTAAACAATATAGGAATTCAAGCAGCCAAATTAATAAATTTGGAATTTTATTAGCTGAGCCCAGTGACCACCCCTGGACCCCTGTTTCAGAGTCCAAGCCAGTGGCACTGAACTGGAAAGTTACAGAGCTTTTAAAACAGAAAACTGAAGAGCAAGACATCCTGTTGGAAACACTGTAGCTTGAATCTTACATTACTTTTGGTTGACTGTATCCTGCTTCTTTGTTGAGCAGGTTAATTTTTCTTTCTTGGGGGTGCAGCTCATTCTGCTTTTCTCATGGAACTCATACCCTGAGTACTCTTCTGGGTCAAATACAGGGCATGAGTCAAACACAGGGCACAAGATGGCATCAGTTATGCCAAACTACAACAGTTCAGAGCTAACAGCCCCCTGGGCGCCCCAGAATCACGGCATCCGTGTCTCACAGTGGCCAAGTCCTGGTAAATTTTGATCTGTTTTCTCTGAAATGTATTTCTAAGAAGTATAATCCCACTTGGAGGTATACATGTGCAACAGAATGTGTTTACTAAAAAAGATGTTCTGGGATTCATGCTGTAGCCGGGGACTTCTGGCGCTGCTGCTTTGGGCCCCTCCAAAGGAGCCTCGCCTGAGCGCGCAGCCATGGTGCGCCGGGGCTGGGGCACTCGAGGGGCCCCGGGGAAGAATGCCGCTTGCAGGAGAAAGCCTGGCTCTGTGAGAGGGCGGGCTGCGCGGGTAGGAGGGTCGCCTGGCAGGCCAGGGTGTGGGGTGTGGCTGGCTGCGCTGGGGACCCAGGAGTGTTTGGGGTTCACGGCGAGGGTGGCTCCTGCGGGAAGGCCAGGGCTGCTTCCCTGCCTCCTTCTCTAGGCGAGGCAGATGTGAGCTAACGAGTCCTGAGCGCAGGACAGCTCTGCAATACGGGCCCAGCAGCGAGAGGAAGTGCTGAACATAAAGTGGTACGCGGCTCAGTGCGCTTCGCTCCAGCCCCGGACACAGGCTCTGCTGTCTGCAGCGGGGCGCGCCCTGCAATCTGGAGGGGACCGAGGCGCCCCCCGCCCCCCGCAGAGGTGCCCAGGGACAACTACAGTCCCTGCCTCGCCAGGACAGCAGATGGACCTGGGATGGCCAAGGACCTGCACGGGTTTCTCCAGGGCAGAACGAGTTCCCCGCCGTGCCCTAGTCATGGGCAGCGCGCTCAGGCCGGAGGCCAGCCCCTTTGACTCCATACCTGACCAGGGCTTTCTCTAAACTCTCTGTGTCTGGGAAATAAATGCTGTTCTTTGCTCTATAAATAAAATAAAATAACATATAATAAAATAAAATAAAATAAAATAAAATAAAATAAAATAAAATAAAGAAGATGTTCTGGAATATTTGCATCACTTTCTATTATTGGTGCCCCGAAACTGGAAATGATCCAAATGCTCAAGAGTAGAACAGGTGAATTAAATGTGGGAATGAAATACTATGCAGTAATTAATTATAAGAAGAATGACTTTCACAAGCATAATGGCATAATGTTGATTGGAAATATCTGGTTGCAAAATGTATATCTTCTATGATTCCATTACAGAAAGTTGGAAAAATAGGCAAAACTAGCGCACAGGTTTGGATGTCAGGAGCACGGTTATTACCTTGGGGTTGTTGGAGACTGGGTGGGTGTGAGCAGGACTTCAGGCTTTGGGAGCACTCTCTCTCTTTGTCTGGGTGGTGCTTCTGCAGGGATATTCATTTTATGGAAATTCATTAAGCTGTAAATTTATGTTCATTTCTGTACACATGTTTTCCTTAGAGAAAAATAAGGAAATACACTGCTGCAAATTGATCGGACTCCATTCTTTTTTTTTTTTTTTTTTAAATTTTATTTAAGGAGAAAAGAAAAAAAAGCAGGGAAAGGGTACAAGTTATACAGATTTACAGAAAAAAATGAACAGTAGGAAATCACTAGTTAATGGATTACATATTGTCATCTTAGAAATACTTGTTCAAGTCACAAAATTAAAGCTTGTAAAGTGGACATTCCATCAATGATACTGCAAACAGTTCTGTTCATTGATCCAATAAAACTCTGTGATATCATTTTCTATCTTATACACTTAAATATACATGCAGTTATATAGTTTGGAGCACTTTCTTTTCCTCTCTTTTGTACCATGACTATTACACATTTTGGGTTTCATTGCTCCCACTGTTCTTATTACTTTTTTGGAAGAGAGTAAAACCAAATGTGACAGAACAGAATTGGTCAAGTCAAAAGGGTGGACATAATAGATAATGTAAAAACATAATACAAGGTGATCAACAATGGTTACTATAATGCCTCCCGCTATCTCTAATAGAATTGCCTATATTGTTAGTTATAATACAATTGAACAAAACAGTAAAGAATAAAACCGACAAAACCAAAACATTGGAGACATTGTAGGTCTTCAAAAGTAGATAAAAGTCAACAAAAATGGGCGTCATAATGAATCTCATTATCTTCACAGCTGATGCCTAAACTTTCGAACCTGATACTATCCAGCAAAACAGAATAGGGGAACATCAGTTAAAAACCAGATGGTGAGAGTAATACAGGGCTTTAAATCAAGGTAATGAAAAGTCAAAGTGGGTTACTATAATATATCCTGCTATTTTTTTCCTTTAATTAAAAGGATAAAGATAAAAAAGTAAATAATGGAGTGGAGATTGAGATAAAAGAGGGCATAACAATGAAACAGCGCAGATCAAAACATAACCATTTAAGCAGAATAGTGTTTCACCACCAGATAATCCTAACCTAAAAGTAGTTACCATATTGTCTCTTTCTTTGAAATCCTTGAGTACAACTTCGTATACTGTAGCATTAAGTATATCAAAACAATGTAAAACCATTCAAGAGAATGACAGCATTACAGAGTATTTAGAATCGACTAACAGAAAATGAATAATGGTTTCTGTATAATCTCCTTGTCTTTACAAGGTTTTTGCTTATACTATCATACATAATAAAATCCAGTAAGATACAACCTATTTAGACCATTGGAGACAGAAGGACAAAAGCTAGATGAGACTTCAAAACAAGATGATACTAAATCAGTATTACCTATTAAGATGTCATTTTCTCCTATCATCCAATCTTCTCTGCCTCATTTCTGTTGAGCTCTTTTTCTGTCAGTAGCTGTCAGTTTGTCTTCTTCATTTTGTTCTCTGCTCCATTCGTTGTGGCCTCTCTGCCATTATTTCTGGATTCTTTGTATTTTTCTTTTTTTAGAATATCCTGCAATACTCTCTGTAGAGTTGAATTGGTGGTTGCAAATTCCCCCAGTTCCTCTTTATCCTGGAAGCACCTTGTTTTTCCATCAATTTCCAGGGACAGTTGTGCAGGATATCTCAATCTTGGCTGGAGATTATTATCTTTCAAAGCTTGAATTATTTCCCCCCACGCTCTTCGTGATTTGATGGTTTGTGCCGAGAAATCTGCTGTAATTCTGATGGGTGTTCCCTTGAAAGTGGTCTGTTTCTTGTCCCTTACAGCTTTTAATATTCTGTTCTTGTATTGAATTTCTGGAACTTTTATTATTATATGCCTGGGTGTTGCTCTGTTTGGGTTGTAGGTAGCTGGGGTCCTGTATGCCTCATACATCTGAGTATCTTTACCTTTTGCTAAATTAGGAAAATTCTCCTGGATTATTTCTGTGAGTAGCTTTTGTAGTTCACTTGTTTGTGTCCCTACTTCTTCTTTTATGTTCTTAATCCTTAGGTTATGGATCCTCTTATCATCTTCTTGTCTTTGTATTATTGCTGTTTGTTTCTTTGTTATTTTTAAGAAGTTTTTCATTTCATTCTCCCATATTACAAGTCTGCCCTCCAGTTCAGATAGTCTGTCCTTAGTTTCTTTCAAGCTGTTATGCCAGTCTTCTATAGACTTCTTAGTATCTTGGTAGTCCCTTTGAACCTGTTTCACGTATTCTATGCTTTCTCTGTTTTCTCCATCAAACAATTCTCCCCTTTTTTTCTGTTCTTCCATTCCACCGCCTGTTTTTTCTTGGGTGGTACTTAGCATTTCTCTAACTATTCTGCATACTTCTAGCTTCAGGTCGTTGATAACTTCATTCCTGAATTGGTCTATGAGGCTCTCTATATGGTGCCTTATGTATATTGGTGCGGTGTCTGCTATTGCCTGTTTCTCAGAATTGGGGGCCGAGGAGCCTTTCTTGTTGCTGCCTCTTCCCATGCTGCCTCTTCTTCTCTGTTCCTTATATATGCAAGCTTATATAAGAGGCCCAGCTTCTCTCCCAGTCAGCCACAGCCTGATCGAATTGCGCCAGTTAGGTGTTCCCGCTCACCGCTGCGCACCAGGGAGTTACGGACCAGGTAGTCTACGCGTCTCCCCTCCCGGCCACCGTCAGGCTCTGGGATCTGAGTTGGGACAGTCTACCAGGTCCGCCGGCAGCGTCACGCAGGCCAGGCACTTTTCACCAATCTCGCCCGAGAGGGGGATGTGTGGCTGGAGTCGCCACTGGGCCCTGCTCCCGCAGGACTGCTCAGACCCAGAAAGTCCTCCGCTGGAGTCAAACTGTGGTAGAGTGTCAGCTTCTCTCACTCACCTCACCACAAGTCAGTGCATGCCTCCCTGCCGTTCGCAGATTGCCGTTCTCAGAGCTTCTGCATGTCTCTCTCCTTGCCGAGCCACTGTAGAGGCAGCCAGCCGCCACGCGGCGGGAAACCCAAATCGCGGATTACAATGGCGCAGGGTCCAGCCTCCACACCGAGACTTTTCTGTTCCTGTTTTAGCACTAGGACTGCATTCCAAGTTGGTTTCTCTCAGCCCAGTTCGTTCCTGAGTCAGCGGAGCATATCTCTACCTGCTTATGTCTCCTTAGTCCGCACCATTCCTGGCTTCTGAGCCGAGTCTTTCAGAGAGCCTCCGGTAGTTGCTGTTATCTGTCCGCCATGTTCTCCCGGAAGTCAGTATAGACAACTTATGATCTGATTTATTATGATGATACAATTGAAAAAATGGCAACAGCAAGTCCAATACTATCCTTATGTGCCTTCTGTCTTCATCCTCAGGGACCCGGGGCTCGAGCCCACGGCGGCCGGAAGTCTTCCAGGAGGGTCTCCGGCCTCCCTCCGCAGTCGGCCGATCGGACTCCATTCTGTTCTGTTTTGGAAACTGCAGTTTGAATTCAGCAGGTGCTTGGAATACACCCCAGCCTATTCCAAGACAAACTCTGGACCCTGGTCACCCTTGTGAGAGTCATAAAGTCAGTTATAGACGAAGTGACTTTTATGTCTCTAAAGCCATTGTGTGTTCAAAGGGACAAAGGACATTAGTGATCAGGTTTCAGTAGGGTGCTGAAGCTCACTCATGTCCCGGTCATCTTCTTGGAGAAATACCAGGCTTGTGAATTCATTTGCACAGACAGGGCTGGCCAGGCAGCCCATTGCCTGTCACCCATTGTCATTTCTGTGTGCTTCTGGGCTTCTGGCCGCACACACTTTCCAAAATAACCACACAGTTGTCATCATCATTCAGGACACTATTTTGGAACCTTGGCTTATCTGCTGATGTGCAGGGACCAGGAAGGGCCCAGCTGTTGAGGAAGGCCCAGGGAATGGGTGAGCTGGGGGAAGGAAGATGGGAGAGATTGGGTTACAGGGCTGTGGGGGGCACAGGGATGCTAGGGTTTCTTGCCTTTCTTCTTCTTTTTTTTTTAATTTAAAAGAGAAAAAAAGACAAAAGAAAAATAAAACACAAAAGAGACCAACAACAGCAAGAAACCCCAAACAATAACAATATAGGCTTTTAAAGATGATGGGAATTTGAACAATGGTTGTTATGTTGCATGTGGTTATCTTCAAAAGGGTGGCTTAGATTACCAGATACAGACATGCAAAAATTTCTGATCATATGAGTGTTAACTGTTCTTTTCCAAGAACCAATAGAATGAGCAATACAGTCATCTAACCTATCTTATGTATATATACACACTAATTTATGTCTTTTCCCTTCTTTTTTCCTCCTTTTCCCTATCTCAGTTACTTTTCCATTTTGAGCATTTTTATACTCTTACACAATATTTTGTAGATTTTATCTTATTTGCTCTTTCAGTTTCTTACACTAGGGAGACGATATGGTATTTACACAGGTGAGTTTGGTTTACTTGAATTATAAGTATGGTCTCAAGTCACACCCATTTACCTAAAATAGCCTTGATGCAATTTTTCTTTATAGCTGAGTAGTACTCCATTGTATAAATTTTTAGTTTCTTTTTTAAAATTTTATTTAAAGAAAGAATAAACAAAACAGAAAAAGGTAGAAATAATATGTAATTTCAAAGAAAAATAAACAGTAAAAAAATAACTAGTTGATAATTACATGTTGTCCTCTTACAAATAGTTGTTCAAGTTACAAAACTGAAGCACACAAAGTGGACATTCAAACAGTAAGACTGCAAACAGTTCTGTTTAACTATCCAACAAAAACTTAGTAATATGGTTAACAATCCTATGTACTTAAACATACATGCAGTTATCCATATCTTCATGTATGTTAAGGTTAAACGAGCCAAAGCAGGCTAAAATCACTCTGAACAAAGAATAATAATATTGCTGGATTTCACATCAT